TAGACATTTTTTATTCAGATGTTCATGTTTCAAAGGGATCTGTTCCCCATCCTCTTTGTGTGACCACTCTTCAGCTTTCCTCACATAATATACTTTCTGTCTTCTCTGTGGATTATTCTGTTCTCCACAGCTTTATGCTTGTGACTTCTCTACCTGAGACATTTTTTCTGAGTTCAAGGGATTTATATCCAGTTGGTCAGATCCATCTATTTGTTCCACAAGAGGCTAAAAACAGAACAACCTCTTTTCTCCTTGCTTTTGCATTTGTACCCACCCACCAAAAAAAAGAAAAATAACCTTTTTCTTGTACTCCATATAATTAATGAACTATACCTGCTATACAGTTGTTTTTAATAGTGCAGATAAAGCCCATAGTAGTTTTTAGTATAATTTCTCAATAAATGGTAGATATCATTTTTACTAGTATTTCCTTCATCCACCTAATCTTGTTGGTTTTATAAATCTTACCAGTTGCTTCCAATTTATTCCTTTTCCCAGGTACAAACATGTGACCTCTAGCCTAGACTATTGTAATAGCTCCCTCAGTGATAACCCTGCCTTGCTTCTTACCTATCTCCAGGCCATCCTTTACTGCTAGAGAGTTATTTCAGATATGCCATTGCAGTCATTGTACAGCTCCCAGTCTCCCTTATTATTGACTCCGAAATTTTTCAACATTGTATGGAAGACTTTAACCTCATCTATGCTTTCAAGGCTTTCAAGGCTTTCAAGGGGAGTGTCCCTACTCCCTTGCACCTTACATTCCAGCAGTGTTAACCACTTTTTATTCTGTACATACGCCCTTGTATCTCCTGCTTCCGAACATACTTTTTCTTCTGTCCAGACTGCCCGCTCAGCACTTCTCTTATTGTCCACCATTACGAATCAGCCTTCCCTAAATCTCCCTGGCAAACTGAAATGTCCCTTCTCTGGCCTGTCATTGCACTTTGTACACATAACTGCTAACGCTTCTTATCATATCAAATTGTAATTGCTTGATTCTCTGTTTCTCTCTGTAAACTCTTTAAGTGCTGGGGGCTGTATCTATATGTTTTTCCTCAAGATCTGGCATAATCCTTTGCTCAGCTATTTACTGAATGAATCAGTACCTAAAACTAAACTCATCATCCTTATCCAAAACTTTTTTTTCTCTTTTTCAATTCTCTTTGTTGGGAAATGGTGTCCCTGTCTAATCAGCTGCTGCCAGTCGCATTTGGTGTAGTTGACCACTCTCTTGACATTACTTTCTTCCCTTGGTTTATATAACCTTACCAGTGGTTCTCAACCTTCCTAAGGCCATGACCCTTTAATACAGTTCCTCGTGTTGTGGTTCCATGTGGTTGGGGGTCACCACAACATAAGGAACTGTATTAAAGGTTTGTGGCCTTAGGAAGGTTGAGAACCACTGCCTTACACCCTACTGGCTTTTGTTTTTCCTGTGTCCATTCAGTTTCACTATGCAATATTGAGCATCAGGGCTCAGCCTGGATCCTCTTCTTCTCCCAATCCGTTATCTACCTTATTCTCTTAATAAATAGATAGCCCTTCTTTCTTAGTGTCTCTCTCTCTCTTTTTTTTTTTCCTGAAGACAGGGTCTTGCTCTCTTGTCCTGGCTAGTGTCCATTGGTTTCATTAGAGCTCACCACAAACCTCCTGGGGTCAAGCAGTTTTCCTCCCACATCTTCCTGAGTCTCTGGGACTACAGGCGTGTTCCTCCATGCCTGGATAATTTTTATATTTCTTCTAGAGACAGGTCCTCACTGTGTTTCTCAGCTGGTCTCAAACTCTTGACCTCAAGCTGTCCTCCCACTAAGCCTTCCAAAGTGCTGGGATTAGAGGTGCCAGCCTCAGCACTCAGCCTTCTTAGTGTCTCTTAGACCTTTCAGTCCCATTGCTCCAAGTTACCAGCATTTCTTAGCTAGATTATCACAGTATTCTTCCTTTCTATATCCTTCTCATATCTGCTTTACTGCATATCTTTTCCAGCATCCTGTACCCTGTGCACAGATGATCTCTGAAAAACACCCTGTTTAAAATCCTTCCTCATCATCTGGAGGCTGAAATCCCAAGTCTATCCATGCTAGTGTCTTTGTCTCTTTCTACTGAATTCCCTTAGCGTTTTGTTTCTCTCTCTGAAAACCCATAATGTAATAACATATAGAGAGTATTGGGCATTTTTCTTAATTTCCTTTCTAAATTTATAAGCAATTTTAAGCTCTTCATCTTCGCCTTTTCTCTAAGACCTAACTAAACTCCATAAAAATAGGATCTCAAAAACTAAGTTGAAAAACAATCTTGTTGAAAAATAAAGATCCTAAATTGGAATATGTCTCTTAAATGATGCCAGTACATTCTTAAAGTAATGATAGCTCTTTGGGTATGGTACTAACAAAAATAACATAAAAGTTACTGGGAAATGTGACCCCCTAGGGAAATAGGTGTCACCAACCATTCCTGAAGATTTTGAAAAAGCTTCATATAAAAGAGGGAGAAAACCCTTGTCCTGGTTCATTTCACAGTTTCTTTCCAACTGCAGTGCCTACTACCTTTATACTAATTCATCATCATCATCATGTGATGATGGTTGGAAAAAAAGACCAGGAGTAACAAGAACTGTGAGTCGGACATGTTTTCCATGCCTATAACTGGAGAATTTTTCCAACCCAACAGTACCTCTCTGTTGGGCCTCACTAAAGGAGAAAGAATAGGAAAAATCAGAGCTGAAGAAGAACTGGGAGAGGGTGGTATTGTTGAACCCAAGAAACAAGAACATGGCTATTATCATAATTAGAAAAAGAGAAATGAAAAGCTATTGATGTTACAAAGAAAAAATGATCAAAGACTTTGAAATAGCATTTCAGTAGAGGAATGAAGATAGAATCCTGATTCTATACAATTGAATGAAAGGTTGAAGAAGGAAGGTAGTGAATACTTTTTGATTAAGTGAAAATAATTGACAACACTTGAGGTAGAATTGATATAACCTTATTTTCTTTTATGTTTTCACACTTTTCCATCAATGGATTTAATCATTTTTTAAAAATAGGTAACCTTAATTAGATATCATTGTAAAACTTAACAGCTCTGTAAGAAAAGAGATAAGTTCTTAAATTCCTCAGATGTTATGTTTTATGGCAGCTACATATTAATGAAATGGAACTTTATAGGTAGTTACACATCAGTGAAACCATGGGCTTTTACAGTCCATACTCGTGTGTCTAACATTACGTCTTATTTTCCTCAGGTTCTACGCATTTTAGATCCAGTTACCTGTACAGAGACCGCATCTGATAATTCGTTTTTTGAGTCTTCACCAGCCACCTTACTTGCTACAAAGAAAAATATTGGACGATTTCACCCCTATACTAGATATGAAAATATAACTTTCAATTGCTGTAATCACTGCCAGGGAGAACTTATTGCCCTTTAACATTCAATATGTTGGCAGCATAGTACAGGTACTTGCTTATTACCCTAGAGTTGTTACTATTTGAGGGCTGAGGTGCTTATAGTGCTAAAAGTAATATCACTTCCTATCTATAAAACATATATACCCAAAGATGTTTTATGTACTAGAATCGAGTACCCTTTCTTAATAAATATCTCAGGGTAAGAAAAGACATTGTATAAATGTATTTAAAATAGAGAATACTTTTCAAGCAATAGACAATGCTTTCCTAAAGGACTTTAAAAGATTCTATAACATTCTTTTGGGCCCTAAATTATTCATCTTACTGGATATTTTATATGTATAGGTTTAATTGTGATTTGCTAAAACAAAGATAGGCAAACTACAACCACAGGTCACATAGGACCACATCCATTCATTTACTATTATCTAAGCTATTTTTGTACTACAACCACAGGGTTGAATAAATGCAGCAGGCCTTGTATTACTTGCAGAGCCTAAAATATTTACTGTCTAGTCCTTTACAAGAAAAATTTTTTGACCTCTAATAATAGCTGTGGGGTGTAGGAAGGTTCTTTATCTTTATAGAAATATTTTGAACTACAAAAGAGGGTTACAGAAATACTATGGATGAGGTGACTAATCTTTTAAAAATATGTGGTATAGGAAAAGTAAATATGTACTCTGGGAGGCCAACGCGGCCAGATTGCCTGAGCTCACTAGTGCCAGACCAGCCTCAGCTAGAGTGAGACCCCCACCTCTAAAAATAGCTAGGCATTGTGGCGGGCACCTGTAGTCCCAGCTACTCAGGAGGCTGAGGCAAGAGAATTGCTTGAGCCCAGGAGTCTGAGGTTGCTGTGAGCTATGACACCACAGCACTCTACCAGGGGCAAGAAAGTGAGACTTTGTCTCAAAAAAAAAAAATAACACAACTACCTGTTGTAGAGAAAAATTAACAAGTACTTCAGCAGAACATTGGTTTTATGCAGGAAATTCTGTATACTAAATGTACAAAATCTGACATTTAAAAGCAACATTCTATTGGCAACTGTTATGTACAATTAGAATATTCAACTTGATATTTATAAAATGTGATGAAGAAAGTAGAATCTTTCTAGAATATTTTATAAACTCAAAAAATGCAATCCCTCAATTTATAAAAATATAGTGTATATGATGAGCCATCAAAAATGCCCTTTTATTGGTCTTTAAACATAGTCACAAAATATTTATACCAAAAATACAAATTAGTTGCAAAAGTGCCTATCAGTAGAGAAATCTTCAATAGACAAATTTGGCCAAGTAATAATATATGAGGTCAATTTAAAAAGTTCACAAACTCATCCTAGAAACAGTGCTACATACGTCATTGCTGAGTATCACTACAGTCACCTTTGTGGTACTTCCCTTGGGAAGCTATGCACCGACGCCAGCACCTAGTCCACCTTTCAAATCAATTTTGGAACTATTTTTCTGGTATGGCCACTAGAGCTATTGTCATACCACCCCTGATGTCCTAAGTAAATGTCATCAAAATGTCATCCTTTCAATATTTCCTTTATCTTTGGGTAAAGAAAAAATCACTGGGGGCCCGATCAGGTGAGTAGAGAGTATGTTCCAATATAATTATTTCTTTACTGGCTAACAACTCCCTAACACAAATGCCCTGTGAGCTGGTGCATTGTTGTGATTCAAGGTCCTAATTTTTCACACACCTTTCCCATGCCAAGATGTTAAGATTTTCCTGCTTGGTGCCTGTAGCTCAAGTGGCTAAGGCGCCAGCCACATACACCTAAGGTGGCGGGTTCAAATCCAGCCTGGGCCACCAAACAGCAATCATGGCTGCAACCAAAAAATAGCCAGGCATTGTTGCGGGCACCTGTGGTTCCAGCTACTTGGGAGGCAGGGGCAGAAGACTTGCTTGAGCCCAGCACTTGGAGGTTGCTATGAGCTATGATGCCATGGCACTCTCCCCAGGGGGACAGCTTGAGGCTCTATCTCAAAAAAAAAAAAAGATTTTCCTTTTTCCCTGTTGATGTTTAATTGGGCTACTGTGCTTCTCACAGCTGACAATTTTGACACACAATTGCATAAATATTTGCAATAGTTTCGTCACTTCTGCACATGGTGGAAAGTTCAAGAACTTAATTTTCAGACCTTGTATTTTAATGTCAATGTTTTTTTTGGTCTCGACTCATCTTGAGTTTTGTTTATAGTTTGAAATGACAGTAAATTTCTCTGCTTTGGCTCGGTGCCTGTGGCTCAAGTGGCTAAGGCACCAGCCATATACACCTAAGCTGACAGGTTCGAATCCAGCCCGGGCCCGCCAAACAACAATAATGGCTGCAACCAAAAAATAGCTGGGCATTGTGGCGGGCGCCTGTGGTCCCAGCTACTTGGGAGGCTGAGGCAGGAGACTCGCTGGAGCCCAGGAGTTGGAGGTTGCTGTGAGCTTTGATGCCGTAGCACTCTACCCAGGGGACAGCTTGAGGGTCTGTCTCAAAAAAAAAGAAAAAAAAAATTTCTCTGCTTTATTTATTGTGAATATTCCTTTTTTCTCCCAGAATGATGTGTTTTGGTTCAAGTCTTCACTAGCTTAACTCTTTATATTTGATTCTTTAGCCTTTTCCTTTAGGTTTCCTTAGGATAAAAGTCTTAGAAGAAGACATAGGGGAAAAGGTTTATGACATTGGATTTGGCATTGATTTCTTAAATATGACACCAGAAGCATATACAACAAAAGAAAAATTGAACTTCATCAAAATTTAAAATTTTGGTATAACAAAGGACACAGTGAAAATTCAACCCAGAGAATGGCAGAAAATATGTGCAAATCACATTTCTGATAAGGATCTAGTGTCCAGAATATACAAAGAACTCCTACCACTCAACAACAAAAAAAAACCCAATAAAAAATGAGCAAAGGATTTGAACAGACATTGATCCAAAAAAGATTTATGGCCTATAAGCATGTCAAAAGGTGTTCAAGATAACTAATTATTAGCGAAATACAGATCAAAACCATTTCACATTCATGAGGATGACTGTTATCAAAAAAGTAAAATAACAAGTGTCAGCAAGATGTGGAGAAACTGGAACCCTTGTGCATTGCTAATGGGAATGTAAAATCCATTAGCTGTTGGAGGCTAGCTCAAAAGCTTAAACATTACCATATGATCTGGCAATTCCACTTCTAGGTAGATATTTAAAAGAATGGAAAGCAGAGACTAAAATAGATATCTGTATACCAGTGTTCATGGCAGCATTATTCACAATATCCAGAACATGAAAACCCCAAGAAATAGATTTTAAAAAATGTATATACATGTAAAGGAATATCATTCATCCTTAAAAAAGAATGAAATTTTGATGCATGCTATCATACAATGTAGATGAAGCTTTAAAACAATATACTAAATGGAATAATTCAGACACAAAAGAACAAATATGATCCCCATTTATACGGGTTATCTAAAAGAGTTAAATTTGTAGAGACAATAGAATAGTGGTTAGCAGAGAATGGGGGGAGAGTAGAATGGGGGGTTTTTGTTTAATAGGTACGGAGTTCAGATTGTATGATAAAAAGTGATGGTTGTATAACAGTATTGATGTAATTAATGCCATTGAATTGTACATTTAAAAATGGTTAAAGAGGTAAAATTTTGCCACAATAAAAACTAAAAAAAAGAAAGATAGTATATATACTGTTATAACCACACTTCTGCAACTGTTGATTAAACAGTAACGCAGATAGTATTTAATAAGCTTAATTTTTAAAAGGGTGGAAAAAAATCTCACATCAACAATCTGACGTTTTACTTTAAGAAACTAGAAAAAGAAGATCAAACAAAACCCAATGCTACAAACAAAAGGAAGGAAATTCAGATGAGTGGAGATAAGGTTCAACATCGCTAATCAAGAAAATACAAATTAAAACTGCCATGAGATACCACTTACCCCTGTCAGAATGGCCATGACTAAAAAGTAAAAAAGCAATAGGTGATGGCACAGGAATGCTTATACACTGCTGGAGGGAATGTAAATTAGAGTAGGCTTTATGGAAAACAGTATGGAGATCTCCCAAGGCACTAAAAGTTAGACCTACCATTTTATCTAACCATCCTATTACTGGTATCTACCGAAGGAAAAGAAGTCAACTGCACCAGTATGTTTATCACAGCCTAATTCACGGTTGCAAAGATACAGAATCATCATAAGTGCCCATCAACTGATGAGTGGATAAAGAAAATGTTTAAACATAGCCCATGGAATATTACTCTGCCAAAGTGAAATGACATCTTTTGCAGCAACTTGAATGAAACTAGAGGCCATTATCCGATGAGATCTGACAAGTTTGAGAACTTGTCCTAGAAAAAGTGCTACATACCTCATTGCTGAATACCACTACGGTGCTTTTCTAATATTTCCCACAGGAAGCTATGCACCAGTATCAACGACTAATCCACTCTTAAAAGCAATTTTGGAACTATTTTTCTGGGAATGGCCATCAGAACTGTCCCTGTATGAGGTTGGACATTTAAATTTGTGAACTCATCCTAGAAAAAGTGCTTTAAGGGTGGACTAGGCCCTAAATCCAATGATTTTTTTTTTTGAAAGTAGAGGTAAAATAGACTAGAAAAACAATAGAGCAAATCAAAGAATCAAAAGTATGTTATTTCAAAAGATCTACAAAATTGACAACACCGTACCCAGACTACATAACATAGAAAGCTAAAATCAGAAGTGAAAGTGGCAACATCGTTAACCTTTCAAAAAACAAAGGAAAACTATATACCAACAAACTAGGTAACCTAGGCAAAATGGACACATTCCTAGGAAGGACACTTATTACCCAAACTGACTCATGGACAAATAGAAAATGTGAACAGATAATATATATAAGTGAGGAAATTAAATCAATAAGCAAAAATCTAACACCAAGAGTGAATCCTAACTTGAACAAAGGACTTTTTGGATAATGATCTATCACTGTAGGTTCGTCAGTTCTAATAAATGTGTCACTTTGATACAGGATATTGCTAGAGAAGGGCTGTGGGAGAGCAGGGGGTATATGAGTACTCACTACTTTCTGCTCAGTTTTTCTGTGAACCTAACACTGCTCTATAAAATAATGTCTATTAAAAAACAAACCATCTAGAAAAGTCTAGAATCAGTTTTATGGATGAATTCTACCAACTATCTAAAGGATTAATACCAATTCTTCTCACTCTCTTCCAAAAAAATAGAAGAGGAGAACATAACACTTTCTGACTCATTTTGTGAAACTGTTAACCCTGCACCCTGTTACCAAAGCTAAATAAAGACAGACACTAGAAGAAAATGATACTACACACCAGTATCTTACAAATGATAGAAACATCTTCCACAAAAATAGTATCAAACCAAGTGCAATAGCATATTAAAGGGATTGTACACCATGACCAAGTGGCATTTATCTCAGGAATGCAAAGGTGGTTCAACATAAGAAAATAAATTGACATAATATATACCACCTTAATAGAGCAAAGGAGAAAAAAACACATGGTTATTTGACTCACCACAGAAAGAGCATATGACAAAATCTACCACCTTTTCATGATTTAAAACACTGAGAAAAAATAGGAATAAAAGAATAGGAGTAAGAGTAGAAAAGAGGAATAGAAATAGAACTTCCTCAACTTTAAAAAGGGGATCTATGAAAAACCCAGAGCTAACATTATATTCACTTGTGAAAGAATAAAAGCTTTCTTTTAAAGATCAGAAGCCAGATAGGGATGCCCATTTTTACAATGTTATTCAACATTATAGTGGAAGTTTTAGCCAGAGTAATTGTCAAGAAAAAGAAAAGCCATCCAATTTGGGAAGCAAGAAACAAAACTC